AAATATACTTTTTTTTATGGTTTTGAATCGTTGTGTAAATTGTTTAGGCGAGAGCTGGTATCAGGGAGGTTCACTTCTTCCCTTTCAACCCTGTGGATAAGAGGACAGCTTTGACTTACATCGACTCGAATGGGAACTGGCATAGAGCTAGCAAGGGAGCTCCCGAGCAGGTTTGTGTTCTTTCTTTTCAGAATAGTTATGATATGATGTGAAATGTGATTAAATATAATTGTGTTCTTTTCTTGAAACAGATTTTGACGCTCTGCAACTGCAAGGACGATTTGAAGAAGAAGGTGCACAGTGTGATCGACAAGTTTGCCGAGCGTGGGCTCAGGTCGCTGGCAGTTGCTTATCAGGTCAGATGTTGGTATAGGCTCGATTATTATTTAGTTTCTTTTTGTGTGTTCGTATATTAATTTCACCGGCTTAGAGATTTTTTTATTTATTTATTTTTAATAATTTCAGGAAGTGCCGGAGAAATCGAAGGATTCCCCAGGTGCCCCGTGGAAATTTGTCGGGCTCTTGTCGCTCTTCGATCCTCCCAGGCATGACAGTGCCGAAACTATCCGTAGGGCTCTGAATCTTGGTGTTAATGTGAAAATGATTACTGGTAAGTAAGCTAACACTCATGAAATAAATCTATAAATCCCAAATTTTCACTTTTATATACTCATTTAATTTTTTTTCCTCTTTCGTTTTGGCGAAAAAAAAATCTAGGTGATCAACTCGCCATTGGCAAGGAAACCGGGCGTAGGTTGGGTATGGGAGTTAACATGTACCCATCCTCATCTCTTCTCGGTCAACACAAGGATGAGTCAATAGCCAGCCTTCCAGTTGAGGAATTAATCGAGAAGGCCGATGGTTTTGCCGGGGTCTTTCCAGGTCAGCCAGTCAGTCCTTCAGACAGAACTTCATTTTTTCAACTCTAACGGAGCTAAAAATTCACGTTTTTTTTCTATCCTTGTTTTCGTGCAGAGCACAAGTACGAGATTGTGAAGAAGCTTCAGGAAAGGAAGCACATTGTTGGAATGACTGGAGACGGTGTGAATGATGCCCCGGCTTTAAAAAAGGCCGATATTGGAATTGCTGTGGCTGATGCTACAGATGCTGCAAGAGGAGCTTCGGATATTGTGCTGACTGAGCCGGGTCTTAGCGTCATCATTAGTGCTGTGTTGACCAGCCGAGCCATTTTCCAGAGGATGAAGAATTACACGGTTAGTCAAATATTTTTTCGCACGAACGATCAAGGCTTGTTTTTTTTTTTTTTTNATGAGAGTATTAAGATTTTTTCTCGTTTTTGTGTTTTGGCAGATTTATGCGGTTTCCATCACCATCCGTATCGTGGTAAGTTGAACGTGACTGTTGAAAATCGGTGAAAATCGTAAAACAATATACTTTTTCCTTGATGACCTTATGTTTATTATTATATTACCTTTGTTTCTTTTGCAGTTTGGTTTCATGTTCATTGCTTTGATATGGAAGTTTGATTTCTCGCCTTTCATGGTTTTGATCATTGCCATTTTGAACGACGGTAGTTTTCTCTTCTGAAATCTTCATTTTCATCTTCAAAGATGTGGCGAATAACCGGTCGATATTTAACTTTGGTTTTACTTAGGTACAATTATGACCATCTCGAAGGATAGAGTTAAACCATCACCATTACCCGACAGCTGGAAACTGAAAGAGATTTTCGCCACAGGCATCGTTCTTGGAGGCTATCTTGCCTTGATGACCGTCATATTCTTCTGGCTCATGCATAAAACCGACTTTTTCCATGTAAGGATATTATTGTTGGTGTTTTTTCTCCTGAAATTTGCAAAATCTTCTATCCTTACACACATCATTAACTTTAGTTATTCATCTTTTGGCCAAAATAAAAATAAAAATAAAAATGCAGGACACATTTGGTGTTAAAAACATTCGAAACAGTGAGGATGAGATGATGGCCGCTTTATACTTGCAAGTGAGTATCGTTAGCCAGGCCCTCATATTTGTGACCAGGTCACGAAGCTGGTCTTTTCTTGAGCGCCCGGGACTTCTACTCATGACTGCTTTCCTCATTGCACAACTGGTAAAAATCCTAAAAGAATGAACTTTTATCTCATTTTTTAGTCTAAATTGCTGATTTTATTTTTTATTTTTTTCGTGTTTTTTAGGTTGCTACTCTTATAGCTGTGTATGCCAACTGGGGTTTCGCGAGAATTAAAGGCTGTGGCTGGGGATGGGCAGGAGTTATCTGGATTTACAGTGTCGTATTTTACCTTCCACTCGATTTAATGAAGTTCGCCATTCGTTACATCTTGAGTGGAAAGGCGTGGCAGAACTTATATGACAACAAGGTACGCGAACGCGTGCATATTTTTTTTTTTAATGCATTTTTACTACATTTATTATATCTTTTCGTTACTTGTATGAGCAATTTGATTCGATTCTATCTTCCGAATCTAGACTGCTTTCACCACCAAGAAAGATTACGGGAAAGAGGAGAGAGAAGCCCAATGGGCTCACGCTCAACGAACTTTGCATGGCCTGCAAACACCGCAAGATACTAATCTCTTCAACGAGAAGAGTAGTTACCGTGAGTTGTCTGAAATCGCAGAACAGGCCAAGAGGAGGGCTGAGATTGCAAGGTAANTAACTCGCGAGTCGCGACCCCTTTTTTTTTTTTTTTTGTTTTGTTTTTTACCAATTGGATTGTTTAAGATAACCTTAATCTCAATGTAGACTTTGTGAAAAAGAGCTAAAATGGATGTACCGTAATATCTTATAGGCTTCGTGAGCTTCATACACTCAAAGGACATGTAGAATCAGTTGTGAAGCTCAAGGGGCTCGACATCGAGACAATCCAGCAGCACTACACAGTTTGAAGAAGCAAAAATCAAAATCCTTTTGGTCACTGTGAAGTGAGAAAAAAATGATTTAGAGAGAGCATAAAGAGTGCCTTTTAAACAATATACTGATGATCCTAACAGAATGAAAGGCAGTAATGTGGGTATAATTTCCCTGAATCTGTTTATTTTGTTCTTTTCTCTTGTTTCCTAATGCATATGAAAAGCAGCAGCATCCCCTTTGGAAAGGGACCTTGTCTAATCTTTGGCTATGTTATATGAGTACAATGGCATTTACTTTGTGACACCAGTCCTTTTTTGGGGCTTCAAAATCTTTTATTTTTCCATGGTTTTTAGTTATGTGCTTTTATGTCTTCTTTTAATGCTCTATTCTTGATGTGAGTAGCATTAGTAGCCATCGGTGCGGACTGATGAAAAAACAGACACAATAAACGAGCTCAAGTCGTTGTAACAATCGATGAGATCTCGGTTAAAAATTGCGAATAACAAATCCTATTTTCATCAGTTAAACAATTGCCAAAAGTTGGATAGCAGATATTCATATTACATCCCAATCCCTCAAATCTCCTCAACAGAATACCACACACATATGCCAGACAAAGTTCTCTTACAAAAAACCCAATATTTTTGTATTGTTGTATACAAATCACAAAATAACTAACTTTTAGTCACAATTATCCTTACACTTACAGATCTCTGACCCCAAAAGGCCCAAATTAATATATATTTTTTTTTTCTCAAATCATGAAGTGCTCGAACGATGTTTCTTTCAGAATTCATCATCCTCTTCATCATCTCTCGAACCAAGAAATTTCCGAACAACAGCTGAAACTGCACCAAGAACTATGAACAGAAGAAAGAAGTCGAATCCACCCCCAACCCCAACAGCAACTGCAGGTCCCGGTGCAAAAAACGAGAACGGGGACCAGCCATAACCATATCCATACCCACCGAATAGAGGAGGAGCAATTGGCGGGTTAATATACACATTGGTCCTACAAGATGACAAACGATGACTTGTTCTTGAGTAACCAAGAGTTAATAATAATAGTCGACTTTTCTATATTGTTTTTCTAGTGTAGAAACCCGAAAGGTAATTAGACTTCTAGAAAAGACTGCAAAATGTACATGTGCAATGCCATGTATAAGGTTGAAGGTTTGAAGGATAGTTATCATGTGATATAATTTGATATTTCGGACAATAATCGTGCCATAATTAGGGAAAAATAGTACCAAACAAACTCTTCAATTGGGTGATTCACCCTCAAAACAACATACATTATCATTAGTCTTTACAAGATTCTCCCTCTCTCCATCTCTTTCAAGAGGTTAAACTTCTATAAAGACTGGAAAATTTGCATGTCAATAGAAAACTTGCCATGTGATTCTCTCTCTCTCTCAGTCTCTTTCCCTCAATCAATTTCACGCGGGATTACTCGAATATTATGGTAGTTTGTTACTACTCATCTCAAAAATCAAATATGGCCTAAATTCGATAAAAATGGGCACGGTTCTCCACAAACTCACTTGCAGGTTAAAAAACAATGATAGTAACATCAAATTCAAGAAAAAATCAACCCATCAACTGATCAACACACCTTTTCAGATTCACTTGTCTAATGCAATTTATCAGAAAATTACTCCACTCATCTCTTTGTGTTGCAGAAAAACCTTATATAACTACCCACAACACCAGGAAACAGAAAGCATACAAAATGGAACTACCTTGAATTGTTAATTCTAGGACCAGACGAGCGAGGCGCGGATGACCGGAAAGACTGGCCGCCAACTCTTCCGCCACTCTTGGCGGCGGCAGCTGGATCAACGGAGCCCAGTGCCAACACCCCAGCTGCCACCGCAACTAAAGCCACCTTCGCTAGATGATTGCAGTTTTTTCTGCCATTAAAAACATTAAAACACTAAAACGCACAAATTGATCATAAAATTTCATCCAAGACTAAATTAATGCTACCTTGATGATGAATCACCATCGACTTCATCTGGGCTGTGGCTGCAAGATATGAAATGGGGTTTTACAGGAACTGGAAAGGCTCTTGTTCGGGGTTTGAGAGTGGAGGTAATTGGGTTTGAGAGAAAGCTACTCTCAAACAAAGCAACTGTCATTTTTCCTTTTCTTCCTTAGTTTGGAATTTCTTGAATTGGGCAAATTTTCAAGTCTTTGGTTTGATAATGGTGGCCTTCAGCTCTATAAGGTGTAAACAGAGGTGTTGATATTTTGAGGTTCTTGGATTGGATGATGCTGATCTAAATGATGGTGGAGGAGGATGACACGTGTGCACACGAGAGTGGATGGATTGAAATTTTTTGTTTGTGACTTAGGAAAAAGAATATTGTGGAATCCTATTTTCAATAAAATAAAATAAAAAGAAAATGAGGATGTGAATAAAATTGAAATCATTTGAAACATTATGTGGCATTTGAGACAATTTCGTAATATTTATTTCAACTTCACCTAAATTATGGGGAAATACAATTAAAGTATAACTAAGATATTATCTCCTACTCGTTAAGCGAATTGAGTAGCTCGGGAGTTCGATTTTCTACTTATAAATATTCGAGTTCGACTTGTGTATCAAAATATAGTTTATTATACAATTTTCTTACATATTACCCTACTTTGGGCCATTAATTTTAATGAAATAAACTCGAGCTCGCTTATCAATTTTTCGAACTCGAGGATTAAAAGCTTGAGTTTGACTCAATTCATTTTCATATATGCCAATCAATAGTGGATTAAAAAAAATTGGACGTAAAATATTTGTAATTGAGTTATTCTACACTATCATAATGAATTACAATTAGTGTACCGAGAATATATTTGATAGTTATCTATTAATATTCTTATTATAATATTATCAAAATCAAGTATAATTTTTTTTTTTCTTAGCGCATGATCATTTGATAAACTACTTGGTAATTGGTAAATCGATTAAGATAAATTTATAGAAAAAAAGTAAACACTTCGCAATTACTCATTAATATTCTCATTGTAGACTTGTAGTATTACTTATCCATATTTCAAACAACAGATTATTTGATTAACTAGTGAATAAACCATTTAGCAAACTAGATTAACACAATATAATTTCCCATACAAATAAAATGATGGATATTAGGTGGTATATAACACGGTATTAGTTCCATTTTTTTGCCGATAAAAAAGTAAGAGTGTTCATGAATTAAGTCGAGCTCGAGCTCGAGCTATCATACTAGACGAGCTCTTAATGAGCCTAGCCAAGCTTGTTAACTAAATAAACTAGCAATCGAATTCGAGTTCGACCCGTTTATCAGATTGACGAGTCAAGCTCGAATATTAACAAGTAAAAACATAAAAAATATTCGATCGACTCGTTAATAAACGAATTTTAAACAAATTCAAACTAATTCCTTTAACCAATCATGCTGAATTCAGATGACTGACTTGGTTTAACAGGCTTAATAAAAACAGTAGGGAAAAAAAAAAGGAAAAAGAAAAAAGAAAAAAATCCCCGAGCGGTTACATTTTCTGTTCATTTAATAAGCTTTATATATACACATAATACACTGAGAGATACTCACTCGCCCAAACACTATCACGCACTCTGCATTTCTGTTTTTCCTGAGTCCACAAGTGACGACGCAACATGTCATCGTCTGGCGCGGCGGCGGCGGCGTCGTCGTCGTCTTCTGCACCGGCGGAGAAAGAGAAGCCGCCGTATGAAGTTTGCAAGGGAAACAATGGACTGGACAAGATCATCCTCCGTGGCGTTCGTGGTAGCTCGGTCGAGGTAGTTTTTCCGCTCACTTTCTTTGGCGTTTCCTATCGATTTGGTTTTGATGTTTTAAGAGGCGAGACTTGTGATCTATCTTTCATGTCGTATTACATAAGCGTTTTCAGTCGAATGATATGAACTCAACTGAATCGCCGCGTGTAACAGGGTGCTTTTGTGCTTGTACAATGCTGTTATTCTGTAAAACTGCGATGTGGTAGGGTTTTTGGGAAATAATGATGAATTAACTAAATGCGTTGTTAATCTGGTTAACGTAGGGTGAAATCGTGAATATCTGAGTATTTTCCTTTCATCCATTGTCGCCTCAAAGTGAGCTTGAGAACGCTGCTATTTATAGTTTCTGAGTAAGCGAAAGTGAATGAGACGAGTAACAGTGGAAATACGTACGGAAAGTCTACGTAGCAGAAAACATGAAAAAGAGACGTGACAATAGCTGTTTAAGCATTATCTCTTCAAGATGGTGGTAGATAAATCTGTATCTGCATTTTTGTTAGTAGAATAAATGAATAATATGATTTTGTTGATTCCGTGTTAGTGGATATGTTGGACGTGTTTAACTTGAAAAATGGAAGCATTTCAGAGGTTTAGAGTTTCCTATTTGAGAAGAGGAGTTGCACTTTTGGAGGGAGGTATTTTATTAAATACTTCTCTGTTGTATCTTCAATTTCTTATCCCTTGGCATCCCCTCATTTATAGATCTATCTGTATGGAGCTCAAGTAATGTCATGGAAGAATGGAAATCAGGAGCTGCTTTTTGTGAGCAAAAAGGTATTGTCTAGAACTTTGTCGCCTTATGTTACGTTATTTTTCTGGTTGCACCTTGGGACATTCATTGATTTTCGTTTTTCTATTCAAAATTGTTCTAATTATTACAGATATTGATTTGGTTTAGAAATGAAGGTTTGTAAACTGAATTGACGTGTATTTCCTTCGCCATTGTGTTCTGTTGTTATGTGCGCCAGTCATGCAAAGCTGTGCTCTGTAAAATAATGGTTTGTTATGCGTCTCTACAATATTTGGTAGATAATCGATTCTTGTTGTCAACTTGACTTAGATTTGAGTGAGAGAAAAGTGTGCTTGAACTCTAGATGGAACTTTATGTGTGTCGGTATCCCATATTAACTGCCAAACTCATATATATGTTGATATTCTTCCATGTCGGATGCTGTGAGATGTAGTGTTGTTACCATGTTCAATTGTTTAGCACTAGAGCAAATTCTTTTCCCTGAAAATTTTACTCTTCATAAGTTGCATATCCAGAAGTAGATTTGAGTTTCAGATGGTCGGTTTCTGATTTGTTCGATTAAGATTTAATGTAGTATCTTATCTTGAAAAACAATGACTGCAGAGGAATTGCTATTTCGAATTAGCATATTTGAGTATTAGCTAGGCGTAGCTAGATTTTCTATTTTTGATGGAGTAAAAGCCATTGTTTGTTTTGGAAAGCAGAAAACAAAATCCATTTATTTGTTTCATTAAGCCTTATTTGACAGACCACTTGTTAAGTTCAGACATTCACTCTGAAAATTGGCAACTCATGATCGACATATGTTATGCCCTGTATTTTTTTTTTTCATTTCTTTTCTTTCAGGCCATTTTCAAACCTCCGAAGGCAATTCGTGGTGGTATTCCTCTTTGTTTCCCACATGTATGTTTATTTGTTTGGTTCTTTCCAGTTTTATTCAACCCCCTTCTTCAATCCTCACGTAAGGAAGCTGTTCTGTGTTATATTTTCAGTGTGCAAGACCTGGAAATGTCCAGTCTCATGGATTTGCTAGAAACAGGTTCTGGGCCATTGACCCTTCTCCACCTCCTTTTCCGGTCCCTTCCGCAAATAAGAATTTCGTGGACTTAATTCTGAAGCCTACTGAAGAGGATATGAAGATCTGGCCTCATCGGTAAAAAAAACTATTTGAGGACTTTGAATTTGTGCAAAAACATATACTGTTGAAGATATGTGCCTTTTGATTTACATCTTCTGTTTCTTGTTCAGTTTTGAGTTTCGCCTGCGGGTAACTTTGGGACCATCTGGAGATCTTATAATGACTTCGCGTATCAGAAACTTGAACCCTGATGGGAAGCCTTTTAGTTTCAACTTTGCTTATCATACGTATTTCTCTGTTTCTGATATCAGGTATTTGAAAGACTTGTTTGTGAATTGGTGATAATTACACATTTTGTGATGCAGTGCTATTATCTAATTCAATTTATTTGAGTTTATGAATTAGAGGGGAAAAAAAAAAAAGTATTTTAATCTGCAATCCACCAGATATCTATCAAGTTTGTGCTACATTGGAGGACCATTTGCTCAAGCAGATTCTAAGATCACTAACCTAATTAAACTAAGTTTTATTGGATATATACCTCTCTCTATTGATTTGTCTGTGTTTCCTAATGATTCTTTTCCTCGTTCAGTGAAGTGCGTGTTGAAGGATTGGAGACTCTGCATTATCTTGATAATCTGAAGGACAAGGAGAAGTGTACTGACCAAGGGGATGCATTAACTTTTGAGTCGGAAGTAAGTCCACGAGACCTGTTATCTTCCTTTCTCGTCGTTTCTACTTTCGAAACTAACTGATATATATCAGGTGGACAAGATATATCTAGACACACCTTCAAAGATTGTGATTCTGGACCACGACAAGAAGCTAGCATTTGTCATTCGTAAAGATGGTCTCCCTGATGCCGGTAATGATTTAATTTAATCCGTTTGTGTTATTTGGTGTTCAGATATCTACTAGTTGTTCTTTCTTTTTTATTCTCTGCATTTCACAACTTAATCTTTTTATTTTTCGTTTTCCCCTCAAAGTCGTCTGGAATCCATGGGATAAGACGGCAAAGGCACTGCCCGACTTTGGTAATGCAGAGTTTAATCAGATGTTGTGCATTGAGCCAGCTGCTATAGAAAATCCAATCACTTTGAAGCCCGGCTACGAATGGACAGGAAAACAGCATCTTTCTCATTCCACTTATTGCACTGGCCCACTTGATCCCGGGAAGGTCCTCCGAGCCACCTGAATTTTTCTCTAACACGCTTGTCCATATCGTGTATAGGTACTTTTCCCGTCTTTTAATTACATTTAATAAAAGAAAATGAGGAGAATTTGAAATTTAACCCTTTGGTTTTCAGGTGACTGAGGTTCAAGATCTGATGGAGTTTATTTCGGCATAACTTTGTCGAGTACTTCTTCTCCTTGCTTTTTGATATGTAGCATGCTAACTTGGTGTGAGTTCTGTAAAGCTGTAACCAAGAAATAGTGCCTCCTATTATACCAACTTGATGGATCTGAAACTCGAAAGTGATGCCTTCTTTAGCTATATTGTCCCATAATGGGTCAATCATTACTCGGATTGTTAATCAACTGTTTTTCTAGTTAATCACCAATTGACTATTGATCAGCACTCGTTATCCTGGTGATGATACATTGTGTTTGATTGCTCTGCTCCTATAATCGAAGCAAATGATACTATCAATAATTTGGGTCTGGGAATCTACCACGTGTCCTGTT